TAATGTCAGACATTGTCTGTGACTGGCCCTAGACAACCTGTTAGAGCTATCAGTAATCCTGCTGCAAGCTTTCCTGAATAAAGGATTTTTCAACTCTTTTAAACAATAGTTTGAAGATCACTGGTTTGGCTTCTAGTTAAAGTAATGTGGAAGGCTAGATGACCTAAAAAGCTGGCTCCAAACACCTGGGAAATTTAGAGAAAATGTAAAAAGCGTTCCTTTAAACACAGAGTAGCGTGTGTAAGAAAGTAAGGGAAATAATACCAGAAATAGAGAAAACCCTAAAAAGCAGAAGAGTGAGTGTGAACAAGTGTGGTTGCGGTGGGGGTGTATGATGGGAAAGGGAGGGAAAAGATCAGGTGACCAATGTATTCTGATAATCCAGGAGCATGAAACAATTGGAGGGCATGCATCCTTTTCAAGCAGACATGAAATAGCTACAATGATTGATCACACACTAAGCCACAAAGCAAACCCCAGAAAACACTAAACACTTGATATATAGGCTATGCCTCTTACCCCAATGCATTTCAATTAGTGATAATAATAACATAACCAAAAGCAACTGGTATGTTGTAAATTTTAAAACACATTTGTAAATAACATTTTTAAAATGCGTTTTTATTGATTTTAGAGAGGGAGGAAGGGGTAGGGAGAGAGAGATAGAAACATCAATGAGAGAGAAACATTGATCAATTGCCTCCCCTGGATGCCTCCTTCTTAAGATCAAGACCACAACATGCAAGTTGTGCCTTGACTAGGAGTCAAACCGGTGCAATAACCTCTTGGTTCAAGGGTCAATACTCAACCATTGATCCACACCTGCTGGGAAATAACTTTTGTGTTAAGGAAGAAATCATATTGGTAATTTGAAAATATCTAGAATGGAATTAGAGGTAAGTATCTATACTCATGTGAAACAGCTAAAACAGTATTTTGAGGGAAACATTATAGCTTTAAATGTTTATATTAAAGAAAGAGGAGGAAGAAGAAGACAGAGAGGAAGAAAAATGAAAACCAATGAGTTCAACATTCAATTCAAGGAATTAGAAAAATTAAATAAAGTAATATAAAAAACCCACAGAAAATAGAGGCATACAAATAATCATGATAAGAGCAGAAATTGATACCACAGAAACCAAAGAATTAATAAAATACACAAACTAAAAGTTGGTTCTCTGAACAGACTAGTAAAATGGGCAAATGTTAGGTCAAGGTTGATCTTAAAAAAAAAGAGAGAGAGAAGATATTAATAATATAAAGAATGAAGACAAGGACATAACTTCAGAGGCAGTAGAAGTTTTTTAAAATAGTATAACAGTATATGAAAAATGTTTATAATAATACATTTGAGAAACCAAGATGGTGGCATAGGTAAACACCGGAAATTGCTGCCTAGCACAACTACTTCAAAAATACAACTAAAAGACAAAACGGAAATCACCCAGAACCACAGGAAGGCTGGCTGAGTGGAAATTCTACAACTAGAAGGAAAGAGAAAAGCACACTGAGACTCAGAGGAGGTGCGGAAGTAAAGTGCAGAGGTACAGAGGCGCACGTGGAAAGGGCTGGCAACTGAGGACGAGGCTGTCTTTTTCAATTGGGAGGGAGTCTCAAGCTCCCGACTGCTCTGAACTCCAGTTCTGGGAGAGTCTCTGGGGACCCAGACTCATACAGGAGAAACTGGACTGCCTGGCATCGGTTGGAACTGGAGGGCGGCTTTCTCTCAGAGGTGCTTGCAGTGATTACCGGGACTCTTAGTGTAGGACTGAGGAGCAGCCATAGCTGCTTGCTCCGTCCTGTTGATCCCCTGAGACCCCACCCCACCCAAGCTGTGAGCAGAGGCTTTTGCATATGAAAGGCCTGGCCCTTTGCAATCTAAAAATTACCTAACAAACTGCAGCTGTCAGACAGACCCAGAACTTTCAAAAGAAGGCCCAAGGCCACACAGCAGCTTGCATTGCTTCACAGCTGGGCCTCATCTGGGCACCTTTAAACCCCAAACAAGGAAGAGGAATCTGCAGATCTCTCCGTAGCTCCTGCTAGGTAGCCTCAGGCAGAGGCTAAATTAGCACCTCCTTAGAGATCCAAGAGCCAGTGTACCCAGTGGTCAGAGTGGGACCATCCAATTACAACTCCTCAGATTCATAAGGGACACACTCAGGGGGCAGACTCAGTGAGCACCAAAGCCCCACTGAAGCAAGTCTTGCCCCAGAAGGGTGTCTCCAGCACAGAAGTTCTCCCTACCATAGACACAGCTGATTCTCACAGCCAATTGGCCTGGAGGTCAATTCCTCCCAGTGATACCTACAACAATCAAGGCTTAACTACAACAAGACTGTGCACAAAGCCCACAAAGGGGTGCACCAAGAGTGTCTACCTCAGATAATTGGGGAGGCTGAGCCACTGGGCCCTATAGGACACCTAGCACACAAAGCCACTCTATCAACACAGGGAAGCATAAAAAATGTGGAGACAAAGAAACAGGTCACAAATGACAGAAATGGAGGAAAGCAAACTATAGGATATAGAGTTCAAAACCACACTTATAAGGTTTTTCAAGAATTTTCTAGAAACCACCAATAAATTGAGTGAGACCCTCAAGAAATCTAGTGAGACCCTCGAGGATATGAAAAAGGACCAACTAGAAATTAAGCACACACTGACTGAAAGAATATTATACAGCCAAAACCGGTTTTGCTCAGTGGATAGAGCGTCGGCCTGCGGACTGAAAGGTCCCAGGTTCGATTCCAGTCAAGGGCATGTACCTTGGTTGCGGGCACACCCCTAGTAGGAGATGTGCAAGAGGCAGCTGATCGATGTTTCTCTCTCATCGATGTTTCTAACTCTCTATCTCTCTCTCTTCCTCTCTGTAAAAAATCAATAAAATATATTTTTTTAAAAAGAATATTATACAGAGTTCCAACAGCAGACTAGAGGATCGCAAGAATCAAGTCAAAGATTTGAAATATGAAGAAGCAAAAAACACCCAACCGGAAAAGCAAAATGAAAAAAGAATCCAAAAATATGAAGATAGTGTAAGGAGCCTCTGGGACAACTTCAAGCGTACCAACATCCGAATTGTGGGGGTGCCAGAAGAAGAGAGAGAGCAAGATATTGAAAACCTATTTGAAGAAATAATGACAGAAAACTTCCCCTACCTGGTGAAAGAAATAGACTTACAACTCCAGGAAGCGCAGAGAACCCCAAACAAAAGGAATCCAAAGAGGACCACACCAAGGCACATCATAATTAAAATGCCAAGAGCAAAAGACAAAGAGAGAATCTTAAAAGCAGCAAGAGAAAAAAAGTCAGTTCCCTACAAGGGAGTACCCATACGACTGTCAGCTGATTTCTCAACAGAAACTATGCAGGCCAGAAGGGAGTGGCAAGAAATATTCAAAGTGACGAATACCAAGAACCTACAACCAAGATTACTTTACCCAGCAAAGCTATCATTCAGAATTGAAGGTCAGATAAAGAGCTTCACAGATAAGAAAAAGCTAAAGGAGTTCATCACCACCAAACCAGTATTATATGAAATGATGAAAGGTATCCTTTAAGAAGAGGAAGAAGAAGAAAAAGGTAAAGATACAAATTATGAACAACAAATACACATCTATCAACAAGTGAATCTAAAAATCAAGTGAATAAATAATCTGATGAACAGAACAAACTGGTGAATATAATAGAATCAGGGGCATAGAAAGGGAATGGACTGACTATTCTCAGGGGGGAAAGGGGTCGGGGGTGCTGGAAGAGACTGGACAAAAATCGTGCACCTATGGATGAGGACAGTGGGGGGGGGGGTGGGTAAGGGCAGATGGTGGGGTGGGAACCGGATGAAGGGGCACCATGGGGGTGAAAAAGATGAACAACTGTAATAATCTTAACAATAAAGATTTTTTTTAAAAAAGGGAAAAATCGAAAAAAATAATAATACATTTGAAAATTTACATAAAATGAACAATTTCCCAGAAAAATATAATTCACTCAGATTCAAGAAAAAAATAAACCCTGATCGGTTTGGCTCAGTGGATAGAGCGTCGACCTGGGGACTGAAGGGTCCCGGGTTCGATTCCAGTCAAGGGCATATACCTTGGTTTCGGGCACATCCCCAGTAGGGGGTGTGCAGGAGGCAGCTAATTGATGTTTCTCTCTCATCGATGTTTCTGACTCTCTATCCCTCTCCCTTCCTCTCTGTAAAAAATCAATAAAATATATATTTTAAAAAAAGAAAACCCTGAATATTCCCCCCAAAAAAGATATGTTTAACCCCTAACCCCCAGTGCCTCAGAGTATGATTTTATTTGGAAAATTGGTCTTTGAGGATGTAATTACTTAAGATGAGGTCATATAGGAGTAGAGTGGGCCCCTACTCCAAAATGACTGGTGTCCTTACAAGAAAACAGCCACGTGAAGACACAGAGACACAGGGGGAGAAGGCCACATGAAGGTGGAGGCAGAGATTTGAGCGATGCAATACAAGTCAAGAAAAAAAGGAATCTCTAGCCATCACCAGAAGCTTGGAGTGAGGCATGGAACAAATTCTTCTTCAGAGCCGCCAGGAGGAACCAACCCTGCTGACACCTTGATTTCAGGCTCTGATCTCCACAGCTGTGAGAGAATACATTTCTGTAGATTCAAACTGCCCAGATTATAGTTCTTTGTTATGGCAGCCCTAGGAAACAAACAACCAATAACTACTACAGTGATTGAAATGATAGTTTAAAATCTGCATGTGAGGCTGTACTCCCCCACCCCCACACACACACACGCACACACACACAGAGTGATCCATTTCAGCCTCCTCATCATATGGACAAGTAATCTGAGGCCCTGAGAGAGTTCCTGTACAGATTACCTAGCAGGTTGATGGCAGTGATAGACCCGGTAGTGATGGGTCGGATGGGTCCCAAGCACTCTAGTGACAACCCTATACTCTGAATTGGGACAATCAACCCCTGAACACTTTTCACAGGCTTGTTTTTCCTTTCCAGGTGCGTCAAGATGTTGTAAAAGTAATCCTCTACCCCAATGAGAATATCTTCCGAATTCTCTTTCCTGATGAATCAGGCCAGATATAGTATCCACTGGAGCACAAGGACACTTATATTGACATATATGGCACCTAAAAAGTCTAGGATTTGGGCTGGGACATGGTTTTACTAAGGCCTGCACTCTCTGCAGGGCTCTGCAAGGGGATCCCAAGGGACTGCTTGTGCCTTAACCATCTTCCAGTTACCCATCGGGAAACCTGGCTGTGATCTCCTTCTGTACAGAAGAGAGCCAGTTCATATATATCATTTTGGAAGACAGTGAAGAAGGGTGTGTTCGAGCCCTTATCAACAACACTGGCCATGCCACCATCTATGATGAATACAGAGAAATCTGGTAAGTTTAGGTCATGAGTCCCAAACACTTATCCCCATGAAGAAGCAGTGTGGTTAAGGCTTGACTCACTCATTTCTCTCTGTCTCTGTCTCTCTGTCTCTCTGTCTCTCTCTCTCTCTCTCACTCTCATTCTTACCCTCCCTCCCTCTTACTTTTGCTTGTGAATTCATTCATTGGACTCACACATGTTGGAATGGGGAGATGGGTACCATGATGGACCAGTAATACAGGTCCCCGACATCAGACAAGGCATATTGTCCTTGTCCCACCAATGCTTTCCCCATGAGTGAAACGGCAGTCACAGACTTGGGGCAACCACTTCTATTGCTTCATCTCCTTTACTCCCCTTGAGAGTCAAACTTCATGAGAATTATCTTAGAAAGACCTAGGACCCCTCTATTCTGGGGCCTCAGCGAGGAGGGTGTGGTGAGCGCTCTGGAAACCCATGTATTATATTAAAAAATATAACTTCTAAATATTTCATTCTAACTGAACTTAGTTCTTAAGTTCCCTTTCTGGTAATGGTGGAAAACTTCACCTTACCAATTCAAGGTGGTTTAGTCACTTCAAAATTTTTGCCCATCTCTTTGGGGTACGGACTGTCTTTTCAGGTTTCCTGTTCCTGCTGCGTTCTAAGTGGACATGTAGTGGGAAGTGCATATTATCTTGGATCAGTGTTATATTTTCTTTCTTTCTTTTTGTTGTTGTTGTTGTTATTTTGTTAATCTTCATCCAAAGAGATTTTTCCTTTTTTTTAGAGAAAGTGGAAGGGAGAGGGAGAGGGAGAGACAGAAAGAAACATTGATGTGAGAGAGAGACATTGATTGATTGCCTCCTGCATGCACCCAACCAGGGCTCAGGTACCTGCAACCAAGGTAGGTGCCCTTGACTAGAATTGAACCCAGCACCCTTCAATCCACAACTTGATGCTCTATCTACTAAGCCAAACCAGCTAGGGCTTACACTTTCTTTCTTATTGATATTAACTTTTTTCTTATTAATTCTGCTCCCCCACGCCCCACCCCCAACCAAAAAAAAAAAGACACAAGGATTTTCATATTCCAAGCCTTGGTTTTTAAGAATATTTTCTCTGTAAGGGTTTTTTCGACATTAGCTGTCTACTTTGTTCTCAGAGGTGTCTGCCCTCCCTGAAGGTCCCTTAGTATAAAAATGATATCTGAAAGGTGGAAGAGGGTACTAGATACAAGAAGCACCAAGTAGTGGGGGCAAGAAACTTGGTTAAATTATCCCAAATGGCATCTGGCTGCATATAGGTGGGCCTCTTCTCTCTAATGACACTTATTTTTAGGGACAAAAGAGACTTTGGGGGTGTCTACTTTCATTTTCTTGGTAAGAAAACTGAGCCTCAGAGAAGCTAATAAGTCACTTGCCCTAAACCACACATAAAATTATAGGCAAGAAATTTTATGGCATTTTGACTCAGCCTGAAATTAAGCATTTTTTTAAATTATCAAATAAGGTTTGCAAGAGAACCTACATCTTTTTTTAAATTATTTTTATCTTTATTGTTGATATTATTACAGATGTCCCTCTTTTTCCTCCCATTGCTCCCCTCCACCCAGTTCCCCCACCGCCCCAGGCCTTCACCACCCCATTGTCTGTGTCCATAGGTAATGCATATATGCATATAAGATGTTTGGTTAATCTCTTCGCACCTCCCCCACCCCGCTTTCCCTCTGAGAATCATCAGTCTGTTCCATTTCCATGCTTCTGATTCTATTTTATTCACCAGTTTATTCTGTTCACTAGATTTCTTATTCATTTATTTTGATTTTTAGATTCAGTTGTTGATAGGTATGTATTTATTGCCATTTTGTTGTTCATATTTTTTTTTATCTTTTACTTCTTCCTCCTCTTCTTAAAGAATACCCTTCAATGTTTCATAGAATACTAGTTTGGTGGTGATGAACTCCTTTAGCTTTTTCTTATCTGTGAAGCTCTTTATCTGATCTTCAATTCTAAATTATAGCTTTGCTGGGTAATCTTGGTTGTAGTCTTTGCTATTCATCACTTTGAATATTTGAATATTTCTTGCCACTCCCTTCTGGCCTGCATAGTTTCTGTTGAGAAATCAGCTGACAGTCAGATGAGCATTCCATTGTAGGTAACTAACTGCTTTTCTCTTGCTGCTTTTAAGATTCTCTCTTTGTCTTTAGCCCTTGGCATTTTAATTATGATGTATCTTGGTGTGGGCTTCTTTGGGTTCCTCTTGTTTGGGACTCTCTGTACTTCCTAGACTTGTAAGTCTATTTCTTCCACCATATAGGGGAAGTTTTCTGTCATTATTTCTTCAAATAAATTTTTAATATCTTGCTCTCTCTCTCCTTCTGGCATCCCCCATAATGCGAATGTTGGTATGTTTGAAGTTGTCCCAGAGGCTCCTTACACTATCTTCATATTTTTGGATTCTTTTTCCTTTTTGCTCTTCTGGTTGGGTGTTTTTTGCTTCCTCATATTTCAAATCATTGATTTGATTCTCAGAATCCTCTACTCTTCTGTTGAATCCCTGTATATTATTCTTTATTTCAGTCAGTGTATGCTTAATTTATGACTGGTCCTTTTCCATTTTTTTTTTGGAGGTTTCTAGAAGATTCTTGAGTAACCTTATAACCATTGTTTTGAACTCTACATCTAGTACTTTGCTTTCTTCCAATTCTTTCATTTGTGACATGTTTCTTTGTCTCCAGATTTTAACTGCTTCCCTGTGTGTTTTTCTATGTATTGGATAGAGCTGCTGTGTCTCCTTGTGTTGGTAGAGTGGCCTTGTGTAGTAGGTGTTCTGTGGTTCAGCCTTCTCAGTCACCTGAGCTGTGAGCTCTAGGTGCACCCCTTTGTGGGCTGTGAGCACAGTCTTGTTGTAGTTGAGACTTAATTGTTGTTGGTGTTACTCCAGGACAATTGGCTGTGAGGGACAGCTGCGAATACAGTGGAAGAACTGCTGTGCAGGAGACACCCTTAGGGAGCAGGACTTGCTTCAGTGGGGCTTTGGTGTTCACTTAGTCTGCCCCTTATGTGTGTTGCTTATGGATGTGTAGAGTTGCAATCTGGTATGGTCTGACACTGCCCACTGGGTGCACTGGCTCTTGGGTGTCCAGGGAAGTGCAAAGTCAGCCACTGCCTGGAGCCACCCAGGAGGAGCTACAGAGAGATCTGCAGATTCCTCCTCTTTGAATTGGGTTTGGAAGTACCCAGATGAGGCCTAACTATGAAGCAAGGCAGGCTGGTGCTGGTGCCCAGTCTTGAGCTTTTTATTGATAGGTTTGGGGCTCCCTGACCCAGCTGCAGCTTGTTTGAGAGATTTTAGACTGAGCAAGGACATATGCAACAGCCACTGCACCCATCTTGGGAGGGGTTGTAAATTGGATGAGGCAGGGTCTTAGGGAATCACCAGGGCATAGCAAACAGAAATGGCTTCCAGTCAGCCCTGTGACTGGGGAGGCCCCAGCATAGAAACAATGATCCCTGTGAGCACCTCTGTCTGGGAGAAAGCTACCCCTGAATCCCTACCCTGATGCTGGACAATCAGTTCCTCCTCATATGTGATTGTGTTCCCCCGAGCCTCGCCCTGGTGCTGGAGCAGAAAAGAAAGCAGGACCTTGCAAGCTTAGTTCATACTGCCAGCCTTTTAAGAGGAACAGATGGGTCTCCAGCAGCCTCTGTGTCACTGAGCCCCAATCCACACTCGTTTATACAGCCTGTAGTTCTTACTGCCCATAGGGACTTCTTTTACCAGTTTTGGAAGGAACCCTGGGCTGGGGGTGTGCTCTGGGGCTGGGACCCATTGCCCCTCCAGGCAGCCTCTGCAGAGACAATCTCCCACCCAATTAAAAAAGTGGCCCACATGGGTGCCGGACCAGCCCATTCCACACCTCCGCACCTCCTACCGGTCTCAGTGTGCTTTCTTCTTTACATCTCTAGTTGTAGGACTTCCATTCAGCCAGCTTTCCAAAAGTTTTGGATGATGGTTGTTCTGTATTTTAGTTGTAATTTTGATGTGGTTGTGGGAGGCAGTGAGTACAGGCATTTACCTACGCCACCATCTTCAAATCCAAGAAACTACATCTTATCCCTGAATCTCAGCCCATCAAAACTCAGTGGGAAGGATGGTGCTCGGATTCAGATTCTGTCGGTCTGGGTAGGGCTGGAGGCCTGCACTCTGTAAGAGATTCCCAGGAGGTTGTGCAGGTCTCCAGGGTGTGGGGCCCAGGCCAGCATGCCTCCACTAGCCTTCAGAAATCAGCCAAGGCCCATAAGCTGGCAGCAGCTGCCTCATCTATCAGGTGTGACACCCCTCTAAAGACCGTAAGACAAAGACAGGAGACCCCGAAGGAAATACTTCCATCTCCTCATCAAAATCAACAACAGTGGATAGCCAAGCCATTGTGCTGACACCCAGACCTTTGCTGGGACCCCAGGAAAAACTCAACCTCACAAGGGAATGAGCCCAATGTCCCGTCTGAGGGACAGCAGTGACTAGTGGCTCAATTTCTCTCCCCCAGAATAGCCTGGCTTCCAGGCCTCAGGCACTAGCCTCAGAGCCATTTCTGGATTTAGGGACCCCGAACTTCCATCTCCCATCTCTCTCTGTGGGCCTTGCTGTCTTCTAGTCTTGAAGTTTTTTTCTGAAACTGCTAACCACTTCACCATTCATGGTTCTCAAGAGGGGAGATATACTGGCAGCTTTCACATCTAATGCTGAGCTCCTGGTCACTGGAGAAAAGGGAGGCTGCCCCATGTTGAAAGCTGCTCGTTAGGTTTGGAGTGGGCCTCGTGAACCTCTGCAAAAGACCTCCACTCTTACCCACCCTGGCCTGGCCCCTCTGTCCACCCAAAGGCAGCCCCTGCCTTTCCCTCCTTGTTCTCCAGCTGCCCCCACAGCCGAGCACACACCCCCATAGTATCACTGTCATTTTTCTTGTCCTTCCATTTTGGTGTTGAAGGAGCAGGCCAGTAAGGAAAGGGAAGAGGTCCCCTCAGCAGGTCCTGGACCCTCTGCATACACGCCTGGTGGGCCTCTCGTCTCCCCCCAGCAGCCCCTCCTCACTCAGCTGTCTGCAGTTGCCCAACATTTCTGTCCTGCCTCCCCTGAGGGCAATTGCATGTTATCTGAGTCCTGCTCTAGTTTGGCTTAAACCAAAGCGAAGCAGCAGCATTTCAGGCCTCAGAGACTTGGATGAGAGAAGAACTGTCTCTGTGTATCCTACACACACACCCATCCCCCCAAAACGTCATTGCACAAGGCAGAATGGGCTCCCCGTCCCAAGCTGCTTCCCTCCCTAGGGGCAGCAGCACCAAAGGAAAATTCGATCCTGTGAGGAAAGGTCCCTGAGAGAATTCATCGTTAGAACTGCAGTCCCTTTGTCACAGGGAGATCGATTTTGTGGCAAAGACCCGCCGAGTCATTTGGGAACACAAAGCTGCTCAACCGGGGCCGTCCAAGCCTAATCATTGCTAGAAACGTCCACAGCTGCTCCCCAGGTCCCAGCCCCACCCCCTCACCCTGTGTGTGCCGAGCTCCTCCATTGCACCCCAGGCGCTGGAAAGGATTTAGAGCTAAGCTGTTTAAGGACTGAATATTTCTCGGGTCATTTTTTATTTCTGTCTCCTCGGGAAAGGTAATGGCATAGTTGTAGTTTGCCGGTGTTTGGAAACTAAACCCCAGCATCGCCCACAACCTCCAGGCCCTGGACTTGAGGAATCTCAGACCGGACCTCCTGCCGGGCTTCAGGGTCCCCCACAGCGAGGGGCCCAGACCTGCCTGAACTCAGGGTTCCTGGTGGGTGGGTCTACACACTCCACAGCTTGGGGTCTTTACACCCCCTGAGGAGGAACCTCCAGATTTAGATACCTGGGGGTTCTAGACCCATTTTCCTGAGGAAGCCTCAGCCCAGAGCTGGGCGCCCAGGGCAGGGACAGACCTCTGACCCCTGGGGACAGGGAAGGCCTTGTGAGAGAACTGTGATAGGGGCCATCACAGGGCAGAGCTAGCAGGACCTGCTCCCCATGGGGTGGAGGAAAAGTCCCTCTCTGCCCTTTTCTCCATCGATGGTAATAAGGATATTCTAATGATGACCGAGTTGTTGCTATGTACAGGCACTTAATCCTCACAGCAACCCTCTGAGTGAAGTAGCAGTATCATCTGCAGTTGAAATTGAGGCATTGGGAGTAACTGGCCCTAGTGGCAGATCTAGGCTTTGAACTTGGAGATTCTGACTCCAGAGCCCAGATTTTTAACTCCTCACGTGCAAACAGCCTCTTGTCTACGTAAAGAGAAATGAGGTAGGCCAGGCCCGGCCCGAAGGTGAGAGACTTAGGACTTCTGCACTTTGTTTGCTGGGTAATGGGAAGCAACAGGAGAATCTTAGATTGGGAGTGACAAGGAGTTCTCCTGTTGGAGGTGAACAAGGCTGCCCTTAGCCGGCCTCCTGCTCTGAGCTGACCTGTGAGGCCACCAGACAGCCCGGAGGAAACCTGGCAGGCGGTCTGAGTGATCCTGACTGCCCCACACCCACCTCCTCTGCTTCACCAGCTCTCAGATCCTCTGCCCTCTGCATTCAGTCCTCAAGAGGAGCTGCTGCCCCAACAGCACAGATTCCAGGGACAGCCGTGGTGGGAGTCTGAAGCAGAAGCCGGGGAAGAGGGACATGGACGGCTTCAAATGCCAAGAAAGGATGGCTCATAGACAAGAGGGCCTGGGCTGCTGAGGGAGAAGCACATGCACCCTCACTCATCCAACACCTATTGACGTGGGTCCCAGGCACAGTGCTGGGGCAGGGACTCATTGGGAACCAAATGACATGGACCTTGCCCTGCAGGACCACGTTTTACATTTATATTTTAGTAAAGAAAACACAGACGACAGACAAGTGCGGGTGTTCTCATTATTCAGGATGGTTCTGTTCTATAAAGTCTCCATGAACACTGAGTAGTGAGCACTGGACTCATTGCTTGCGGGGAGTGTGTGTGTCATGTAGACAGAATCACAAACACGGGAAGAGCAGTGACACATCTGAGTCCTCTGATGCGCACGTTCCCCGCGGAGGCTGCATGAGGTGCTGCCTCCCGGAGGACGGAGACAGGAGGCAGGGCTCGGTGGCTCAGGAGCCCCAGCTCTGGGGCCAGGTGGACTCCACCAGGATGGGTTGCTTTGAGGATTGAAGATTACCTTCACGAGAGATAGATACACAGTTCTCCTGGAACAACGGGCTCAGTATTCACTAAGTGTTCAAGGCGACTTTACAGAACCTAACACATACATGAATAACAAGAACCAACTACATGTATTAGTAAATTATATGGAGGAAACTAGCAAGGAGCGAAGATGGAGAGTGACATAGGGAGCCAGAGGGGCTGGTCAGGAAGGGCCTCTGAGAAAATGATCCTTACGCAGGAGCCAGCTGTGCCAAGCAGGGTGGGAAGTCGGTTCCAGGCAGAGGAAACAGCACGGCAAAGGCCTGAGGAGGAAAAGAGCACGCAGCCCCTGGGACTGAAAGGAGCGCGTGGGTGGGGGGCCCAGGCACAAGACAAGACTAGAGTCTGCACGGAGGCTGAAGGGCTGCACCTCGTCTTGGGCCTGCCTTCCTGGTTGGAACTTCTCCCACCTGCCAAGACCCGTGGGAGCCTGTGGGCTGTTTGTGGGCAAAGGTTGAAGCAAGAAAGGGGGAGAGAGAGGGAGGGAGCAGGCCTGCATTGCCCCTCACCCCAGGGCCAAGTGCCCAGCTGCCTGATGGGACTTCTCAATCTAGGTTGAGCCTGAGCCAAAACCTGGGCTACTACTTTGACAAAGACAAAACCCAGAAGGCCTGGAACTGGTGGAACCTGAACCTGCACGTCCACGCGCCCCCTGTCCGGGCTATCTCCTTAAACATCAACCAGTACATCAAGATACAAGTCAAGAGCCAAAATGAGGTCATCTTCCGCTTCGTCCACCAAACAAACCGCATTTCCTTAAACCTGGGCACCAAGTACAAGGTAAGGTCTCAACTCCCCACACCTCTGCCCCCTGCACCAGGCCACGGCTGGCTCTTACGGCCGTGCCATGGGCCCCGGGCCATGTTCTGCATGGCTCCAACCCAAAGGAAAACAAGACCACGATATCAACACGCCTCATCTGGTCTGACACTCACTACCACCCTGTCATCTGGCAGGGCCAGAAACAAAGGGGAAGGTGTGCCCCCGGCCCTACTCTCCTTCTCACACATGCTCATTTCCAAAGAAATGACTGCCTGGAAGGTCAAGGCCTCTGCCCAGTCCAGGCAGGAAGTCCCAAAGGAGAGTTAGTTTTCTCCGCTGCAAATGACCACAAGCTGCGGGATTTAAATCAACAGAAGTTTATTTTCTCACAGTTCTGGAGGCTAGAAGGTTAAAATCGAGGTGTCAGCTACCTCCAAAGGCTCTAAGGGAGAATCCTCCTTGTCTCTCCCAGCTGCTTGGTTCCCGGCATTCCTTGGCCTGTGGCAGCCTCACTCCAGTCTCTGCGTCTGTCTTCACGTGGCCGCTCCTCCACGTCTCTCTGCACATCCACCTCCCTCTCCTTTCTCTTATAAGGACACCAGACATTGGAGTTGGGGCCCACCCCAAGTCCTCATCCACCGTCCTTAACTTGATTACATCGGCAAAGATCCTATTTCCAAATACGGTTACGTTCACAGGTTACTGGCCATGTCTTTTGGGGGCCACTGTTCAGTCCACTACGAGGGGAGTCTGGACCCTAGCGTTCTCACTGTGACAGGGCAAGAGGCGGGCTATAGAGACCCTTCCTGAGGACCAGAGTGAAGGCGGGGAACTGGGCAGACTCAGAGGCCTGGAGCTGCTGGGATCTGAACCTCTACGTCCGCATGGCCCCTGCCCAGTCTATCTCCTTAACTGCCCCCTGAGACACACACAAGATCCTGTTCCTGCTCCAGCTCCCCCCCCCCCCCACTCCACAGAAGGCTCTGTTTACAGACCCACCAGAGAGGCATTCCAGGCCGCTGACAGCAGGACTGCCTGGGGAGACAGATGGACATGTCTTGTGGGAAGTGGGCCAGGCGGAGAAGCAGGCTGATGGAAGGGAAGAAGCAGACTCAAGCACAATTAAGCTGTATGACTAATATTTGAAAGGAGAGGAGAGAATGTGGCAGGTTAGGGTGACCACCACCCCAGTTTGCCCAGGATGGGGGCGTTTTCCAGGACAGGAGACTTCGAGAGCTAAAGCTGGGACAGTTCATGCAGATCCAGACAGCTGGTCACCCTGGCCCCCTTGCCTAGGAAGGCTGCTGGTTTACAAGCTAAAGAACGAAGTCCCAACCTTCTCACCTACCTGGGCCCCCCAGAGCAGCCACCTCAGTAAAGAGATGATGCATACTTATGGTCTCCCCGAGTTTTCCATTTGCCCCTGCACATGGAGATGAGCCCGGAGGGAGCAGCTAGAATGGAGAGGGCACGAGGACCTGGGGTTCCACTGAGGGAGGGTCAGCAAAGGAAACCAATGCCCCAAAGGGCAGGTGAATGGCTGACATGGTCCGAGTCCTGTGCCAGTGGAAGGGGGCAGGGGCCAAAGGAAACGAATCAGCACAGATGTAACTCATCGGCAGGGTCCTCCCAGGCCAGACAGCAGGGCGTCCTGAGAACACGCCAGCCCCTCCACTTCCCGTGCGACACAGGCAGGCCTCTTGCTCTTTCTGAGACTGCTGTCGTTTATAAAGTGACAGTGTCGTTGTACGGCTTCGATAAGACGCTTTGTGTGAAAACATTTCATAAGTTGGATACTTCACAGAAATAGAACATCTTGGTTTTCTTTAGCATTCTTCTGGGAGACCCTTTGCCCAGCCTTCTGTAGCTACAAACCAAGGCCGAATTGCAGTAGAGGTGGCCTCACTGGGCAGTGCCTCATCCCAGCAAAACCCAGACTCACTCCAGCGAGCCCGCAGTGGGAGTGCGGCTCTCGGCAGACACTTCGGACAGCCTCCCAACTGTGGCAGGGCCTCCGTGGGAGGGGATCTATGGGGAAAGCGGATGCTCCCAGGGGGGCACAGCCTTTGGATGGCAGCCCACACCAGGTCTCAGGAGCTGGCACCCTTTGGCTTGGGTTCAGGCTGGGGGGTGGCCACGGGCACAGGCCCAGCACGTGTCCTTGGGAAGCAGCAGAAAGGTTGCTGGTGGCTGGGCTGGGAGAGGAGATTTGGCCTGGAGAGTGGCGTTCCCGGGGAAGACTCGGTCCTGGCCACAGGGGTCTGATCCTGGGGGGGTTGGGGGAGGGGTGGGTCTGGGGCAGCATATATCCTCACCTAGCCTTCCGTGAATTCCCACAGTTCATCAACCCGGAGAGGCTGAGTGAAATGAAGGTGAAAGCAATCCTAGAGGTGGACTTTGGTTCAACAGCTCGGAAGATTCAGGTCCTTCTGGGCAAAATGAGTAGGATCCTGCATTTCCTGACCATCTGTGATTTGGAAAACTTCATAGAGAGCGCCACGAACTTGCTGCTGCACAGCAGTCGGAGGAGGAAGTTGTTTTAGGTCCAGACGAGCGCCGTCGCCACACTGCCCCGGGCTTACCAGAACCTGCTGGACGTCTCTGGAAGGTTGTGGTCAGGAGCACCAAGGAAAACCTCAAAGTCTCGTTTTTGTCTCTTGAGAGTTGTTTTGTAATGTGGGGCCTGTCACAGTAGCTTGGTTTGACAGGAAAAGCCTTTGGGGTTCTGACAGACCCCGTGGCGGGGAACAGAAAGGACCCAGGAGCCAGCCCTGGCCCGACAGCGTTAGAGGCAGGCTGTCTCGGGGGCAGGACAGTCCACAGCTGTCCTGCTTGCTCCCACTGGTCACTGCGACCTTCCTGCACCTGGTTGACTCAGGACATAGACCGTCTCGAAGGCTAGCTCTGCCAAGTGTTGGCTGTGTGGCAAGTAGCTTTACGCCTCAGTTTCCCCGTCTATGAAATGGGTCTAGAAATAGTAGCTCTCACTAACCCTGACCTCATCTCAAACACCTCCTCTCCCATCCCCACCAGGGCAGAGGGAAACCCAGACAGCAAACCACACCATCCTGCAGCGGGTCCCCCAAACCAGGAGCCAACTAAGCCCAAAAGGACCCACACTAACCCCCCCTCCAATAGCTGGGGCCCTTCTGGTCACTGGTAATAGCTACCAACTGGAGTAGGTAAAGCAAAACAGGAAGCGAATGATCTGGATGGGAGATGCAATGGCTCTCAGAAAGGACAGGAGCATGGAAGGCCGCTAGAAGCCAGGAGGACGTTCATCCTCATCTCTGCGACACTCGTCTTGTTCTGAAGACATTTTCTATGCACCTCAGTTCACGTGACTTTGTTTCCTGATCTCTCACAGAACACCCAGTGGTCTCGGATTGGCTGGCTGATCTGGTGCAATCCAGGGTGATAAGGGAGGGCAGGTTATGTCTCGTAAACATGGTTCCTAGTTGATGCCTGAGCATGGGGAGGGGTGGGAGTTTCTAGAACAGGGGACTCAGGAGCCGGGCAGTGTGCCTTTTAAATCCCTGGGACACAGCAAGTTTCCCAGGGTGATCTCAACTGCCGCCTAAACCAAGACGGGAAACCCCTTCTAGCAATTAGCCCTTCCCTGCCATGAGCCGGTGCCTGCCCTCCTGCTCTCACACTGCCTGCCTCCACCTCTCGCCATCACCCCAGGCGCGAAGCTGCGCAGCTGGGCTGGGACTAGGGTGCTGAGGCCAGCGGGGCGTTACAGTCTCTCCCACTGTTTGACTCACACTTGTTGGTGAACAGTATCATCAGCTAAAACTACAGTTACTGCCACACCTGGCATGGATGCCACTGTAGACGTGGAGCTTTGCAGGCCACGCCCAACATGCCCGTGGGCCTTGTTGGTTGGGCACCTCCACTCAGGAGGCGGAGAGGCCCCTTTCCTCGCGGGCACTAGAGACAAAGCTCCTGAGTCGCACTTGGCAATGAGCAGGTCCTTCCAAGCTTGCAGCCGTGACTCCAGATGTTTCTCCCGGGACTGAAGGCCTCAGACCTGAAGGCGGGTGTGCCCTGGAGTCAGACAGGCCTGGTTGGCCGTCTTGGCAGCACCGTTTGCCAGCTGTGGGGCCTGTGGCAAGGCAGTGAGCCCCGCAAGACTCCGTTCCTCACCTGAAGTAGGAAGCGTTACAGTGAAGACGAAAGGAGGTGGCGTCGGTAAGGCACTGGGCATGGCGCTCAGTAGATGCGGCTCTTACTGTTTTCAGCCACTTCCTCTCCTCGGTCTTCCTCCTTTCACCAAACCTGAACACAGGCTTCTTAGTACAGAGGCTGTCCGCAGGTAGCCTTGCAGAGGCATTTTGTCTCGTCAGTCCCGTTTTAAACTATGTTGTTGCCAGCATTTAATAGATGGGAGGTTTCCAGCCGCTCCTGTAACGCCTGCTCTGCGCCAGTGTGTCAGAGCCTGGGCAGGATGAGGAACTCGGGGTTGTTTCCATCAGGAAAAGCGAATCACCTCACAGACTGGGCAGTAAATACTGACAGCAGCCAACCAGCTGGCCAGGCCTGTCAAAGCCCGGATCCCACCCGTCAGTCTGCTTGGGCTGCTGGAGCCAAGGTCACACGGAGCAGCTGGAACCACGGAGACTGATGGTCTCGGCTCTGGAAGCTGGAAGTCCACAGTGCAGGGCTTCCCTGAGCAGGTGCTGGGGAGGGTGTGTAGCCCGGCCTTTCTCCAGCTTCGATTAGCTCCTTGGCTTGTGGCAGCATCACTCCAGTTTCACAGGGAGTTCTCCCCGTGTGTCTGGGTCAAATTTCCCCCTTTTATGTGGACACCACTCATAATGGGTCGGGGGCCACCCTACTGCAGTCCGGATCCCACCCCACGTCAGTCTGCTCCAGTGTGCCTCACCTCACTAGTAATTACATCTGCAACAGCCTGTTTCCAAATCAGGTCTGTGGTGCTGGGCATCAGGACTTCAACACATGAATGTGGGGGACACAGTCCAACCTTAACACATGTCTGCCTCACACCCCAGCCCCGCTCAGGCCCTGCACTTCCTGAGGGGACGAGCCCTCTTGCTCATTATCATTTCATCTTCAGTGACTTGGCCGGAAACGGTGCTTCTCCTACAAACAAAAATGGACTCAGTTGGGCTGTTTATCAATACTAACTGTTCAGTGACACACAAGGGTTTCCTGATGAGTATCCTCATCAGTGAATGCCCCAAGGCACATGGAGTCTCGTCCAGTGCCTACAGAAATTACTAATTAATTCAGTAATAATTACACCATGTAATAGGTATGCACTGGGTGCCTACCCTGTGCCGAAGGTCCAAAGAGAACAGGTTGTCTGCCCTCGGGGATTACAGAGCGGGGATCAGAGACACAACAGCAAAAGGATGGAAGTATTGCTTTGTGAAGGAGCACAGTGGAAGCAAAGGGGTCGCCTGGGGAGGCGGGAGGGGTCGCAGGAAGCCTCTCTGAGCCAGGGCTGAAGAAGGACCAGGAGCGGGTGGGGTGCGCTGGGAGTCCCCAGGAGCGGCAAGCGTCTGTGCAGAGACAGTGAGCATGTAGGGCAGACAAAAGGCACCAGATAGGGAGACTGTTGGAGAGTATCTTCTAGCTGCACAACCCCCAGCCCCTTCCTTTATGGGGAAAACACTCTTCTGAGTATCTATTTGTGGGCAGCCATGCCCTGCTCGCCAGGAGGAAACTAAAAAGGTCGTATCAGTCAGGGGCCAGTGAGGACCCAGTAATTCCAACATCAGTAATTCCAGCAGGGAAGATGTAACAAAGCCTAGCACGCTAATACTAAAAGGGACCTGAAAGAAAACTCTAGAAGCTCAAGAACAGCAAATGAAAGGCACAGTATTCTCCCTCCCTCCCTCTCTCCCCATCTCCTCTCTTTAGAATGCACCCAAGAAGGGAACTAAGAACTTACAGGGAGGATGTGACTGCAGCCCTGGCTGGTGGGGAGGTTCGGGGCCAGGGAGCTGGAGCTGGTGCCCAGGGTGCGGCCTCCAGGTTGTGGAAGCTGCTTCACAAAAAGCTTTCTGCCAGGTGCCAGGAAAGCTTGTGGGAGAGTGGGTGCGCCAGACCTCCCGTGCGGTGCTTACAGCCCAAACCGAAGGAAACAGACAAACAGAGCCCCGCCCAGGCCTCGAGTGCACCTCCAGCACCAGCAAAGCCTAATATTGCACCAGCTGGCAGTGGAGGCATGTTCTCCGGGCCCGGCTCAGAATCTCAAAGCCGGGCAAAAAGGATGGACTTGGAGCTGATAGGAATAAACCAGTAACTAGCACAGAGGTCGTCTTCTCTATGCTCCAACACTGTATTGAAGCACGGGCTATCACACACACACACGCACACACGCACACGCGCACACGCACACACACGCACACGCACACGTACATGGGTGCCTCATGGGGAGTGATCTTGGCCAAGATGAAAGCAGTTGAGTGATACCCACCCAATCAGGGACTCACACGGAAGTGGAGACCTGACCAACTCTTTCTGCTTTGAAAAAAAAAATGCATCTGTGATGCTTCCTGTTCTTATCCCTTTGCTCCTCCAGCACCATTTCCTTCCAGTAAAGCCATTCCTGCTCATTAGACTATGATGTCCTCTGTTGCTTGCACTCAAGAACCCTGACAGACACAGAGGACGAATAGTGAGGGCATGAGGCGGGGTAGATGGGCAGGGGCTGATTGAGACAGCCTTGTGTGCCGTAGGAGATAAAGTTTTACATTCTGGAGAAAGGGGAGGAAAGATGTTAATAAGACTGGGCTTTTGTAGTAAAGATATTTCAATATTCCAAACAAGGATATTGAAAATGAGGGCCTTGACGTGGGCAACGGCATTAGAAATACAGAGAGGGGGAGGAGATAAAGGGCTACATAAGATAGGAAATAGGCAGGACTTGGTAGCAATGGGAAGGGGAGGGGAGGCTACGTGATTTTTGGCAACAGAGTGGATTCTTTCATTCATTCACCTACTGCAGGCACTGTCCTAGGGGCCAGGTATACAGCAATAAACAAAACCACACTCCCCTCCATGCCAGTTTACAATCTGGGTTGGGGAAGACAGAAAAAAACACACACAAATAAGCAAAATATCTCATGTGCCATATGAAGACAAGTAAGCCAGGTGAGGGAAATAAAGTCTAGGAATTGGGGGTCCCTACAGTAAGTGTACAGCAGGGTTTGTGCTGGCAAAGTCTTTGTTGTGAGAGGCTGTCCTGTGCATCGTAGGATATTTAGCAGTTACAGTTGACTTCTACCAACTAGGAACCAGTAATATCCCCGGACACACACCAGTCATGACAACCAAAAACGTCTTCAATCATTGCCAAGTGTCCCAGGGCAGGGGCGAGGGAAGGTCACCCCTTGTTGAGAAGCACTGCTGTAGATCAGCTTGGGGTTTGTTTTATGGTGCAGCATATGTCTCTCTTGGCAAATGTTTCACGTACTTGAAAAGAATGTGTTCTGCTGTTAGGTATTCTGAATTTCATGAGGAAACACAGGCACATCATTCTATAACTAGGCTACACTTTTTAAAAAATGCC